CAACCCCCATTGAAGTTATAATTGTGGGGTGTGTAACAGCTACACTAGCTTGTTGTAGCCTGCAGTCTTGCCCCTAGCCCGAGAGTGAGTCCCGGTGTTAAGGATTCCGGACCCCTTTGGGGGGGGGGGGGGGGTGGAACGAATGCATGTCGTAAAAGCCACAGATTTGGGGATATTTCTTTACAAGCCAGAGTGCCTTTGCTTGAGACGCGAGAAACCAACAATTTGCATACAGAAGAGCCAGAATGGTTTATATGCATATTCCTTTCTCAGATCTGACATATATGTATGCAGACTGTTGGTTCCTAGCTTCTCAGGCAGATGCACTCCGACTTTAAAGGAGGCCTCATATTAGTCGACTCTTATAAGATGCTTGTTGGGGATGCAGTGTGTATGTTCTTGTTTTTCCTCACGAAACTTAAAAGGGAGAACAGCCGTTTGTGTTACACGATCCTATGGTAGTCTTGATACATGACCGAACCATTTGACCCCTTGTCTCTTAATGTAATTTAGCACTGGTTCTGTCCCTACTTTTTCCTGGCATGACTGTGTCGGGTTCTGTCTCTTCCTGTTACATTTAAGATTCTTCGTTGTCAATTCTGTTATTTCGGACTTTGCTTGCTTGCTTGTTGTACCATACCAAGACATAACACAAGCGATTAACACACGGTGACACAAAGTGCCACCATGCTGATGAGGATCACCCGTGGGGAGGTCCCAGAAACCGCTTTCAGCAGTTATGGCCATATTTGTGGCCCAGCTATGCTCAGGGTTTCCCGGTAAAAGCCAGAGTAGGGCTTCAAATAACGAAAAATTGCTTCCCACAAGGAAACGACTTGAATTACTTCTTCTTCTTCTTCGCCTTCACCAGCTGTACACTCTAGCGGAAAGTTCTGGTTGCTCGTCCACTAGTGAACTGCAGTCCTGCTCCAGAACCTGAGTGTTGCATGTGCATCAGTTTTACAGATCTCATTCTCTTTGAATACAGACTGTTGGTTCCTTGCCTCTCCGGCAGATGCACTCCGACTTCAAAGGAAGCTACCCAATTAGTCGACTCTTACGACATGCTTTTGGGGAGGCAGTGAGTCTATTCTTGTTTTCCCCATGATGGGGCCCCGAAACCCACACGGGGGACTTGAGGATTATTATTTCGTACTTTCTTACACCTTTTGTTGCTATGGTCTAAATTTAGCAATGGTAACGCAACGAGGGATTAACATCGGTGCAATAAAGCAAACCAAGTATTTAGGGGGAAAAAAAAAAAAGACACAAAACAATAGATTGCACAATTTATTTCCTGACCCACTTCGCAAATGCTCGTAAGGTGCACACTACAGTAACAAGTGATTAAAAAATGGTGCAATTAATTGATTCATTGGAACTGAAACACAAAATCGACTTCATTTAAAAACTGATTCACCAGGGCTAACGCGAGATAGAGACTGTCTTTTTGTCTGCATAATTCTGGACTAAACCGGTTTGAAACGGTCGCTTCTACAAATCTAATTAATCTACATTTGGCTGAAGTGTAAATAATTCGAAATACATCTCATACACCTGACGAGATACAGCGAAATATGTCAGGCCGTAAATTGTGCAAAATACTGTGTGTCTCTTCTTTGTTCAAATTCACAACGAGGAAACATTTCTTTGAACCAGGTATTGTGACAACTAGCCCCCCTTTTACAACACACAACAACCCTAATTAGCGCAAAGAACCATCTCATACAAAGCAAATTCATTCCGGCCCTATGCTACCAGTGCCAAACATGGTCACTCACAAACAACCTAGATAAGAACATACAGTAACTATATGGCAAAAAAGGGGGGGGGGGGGTGTATTAGAAGGTTTGCAGAAGTAATCAAAAGAGATAAAATCACCACTTGGTTGAGAACTGATGCATGACAAGTTGGATGTTGTGAGGGCTTTTGGAAGCGAGTGAACAGTACCGAGGCACAGGTAGATCATTACTGTCTGAGGAGATTGGCACTGCGAGGAGTTACAAGGGGAAATGGCTGCCGCTCAACACTCAGGGGAAAACCCCAAGACGAATATACAATCAGACAGTTACTGGTGCCATCGGAATTTTAACTCTTTGCTTGCTTCTGAAGATGGGGACGGAGCGCTTATGGGGGTGTCCCTAGTGCTTTAACATTTAACAACATAAAATCAGGAATTAGGTCATACGAGAAAATGTCGGCACAGAACCTATTCTAAATTATTTGCACAGACAAAACAAATCAAATGGTTTGCCCACTTGGAGAGAATTCTTTGCAACGCCATATTATTCAAGGCATACATTAAAAAGTGGAGAAGGACGTAGAGCATGAGACAGACCAAAAAAAAAAAGATATGAAAAGATAACATCAGAGAAACTCTACAACAAGACGACGTGTCTGTGGTCGAGGCCGCCAGATAAGCAAAAGGCACCAGCGACTCCTGAAGCGGACAAAGAGGAAGTGCAGAAGCTGAAGAACAAGACTGTTGAGTAGCAGTGCTGAACAGTTCTATTTTGGCATCAGTTGTTGCAAGTATATTTCATTCATCAGTTGTTGCACGTATATATCTCTGCAATGTTAAATTAATACTGTTGTATATAATAAACATATGGAGAACGAATTAAACAAAAAATTATCATTTTCCCATAACATGGAGTGTCTTTGGCTGACCAGTTACTGTTGACTTTCTGGTCAACTCCTTCCAGCTCTTTCAATTTGAGGCAATGGACATCATGTTGTATGTTTCAATTCTGGGGGGGGGGGAAGGGGGCGGGGGGGGGTGGAGGGGGGGGGGGGGGGGGAGGAATGGGTCTTCGTGGTGAAGTGGGCAAGCCGCTTGCCTCACGGTCTGAAAGTTGTGGGCTCATTTCATGGCTGTGCTGTTTAGGTCACAAATACCGTTTTTACGGAGACGCTCGTGAACGTCACCGGAGCTATGGTGGTCGTGCTTTTTGCGACGCTCTAGGCAGGTGACTAGTCGTTCCGCTGACAGAGACTGAGCCATATGGTACAAAATCCGGATCAGTGAAATTGATTTTCTTAATTTTATGTTTGAGGCCACTCCAGGCATCCAAATTCTGAGTCTAGGTCTTTTCTCGTTGACCTTTTGTCTGCTTCTTTTTGTTTTTTAAAGTTCATCCCGTGTGGCGTTGGTATTATGTCCTATCCACAACCTTCTGTCTCGTGTGCTCCTCATCTATTCTGACACAGATGATCCTCCATGCCATGAGGTGTACAGCATCGTTTCTCCCCGTCTCCCTCTGTCTCTCTTCTCCTTCCAACTGTCCTACTGTCTCTTCTACTTTTACCCTATACCATCGTATATGGAGGGAGATGGCCAGGAGATTTTATTACATGTCCGTATCGCTGAATTTTGCCCTGTTTTTACTGTTGTTAAAGAGAGTCAGATTAAAAATTTTCCAATAAGGTGCGTCTCTGCTCAGTGGTGCGTCTCTGCTTAGTGGTGCGGCCCAGTCCTCTCAGTCAAGATTGTCATTAACAATCATTACAGTTCTTTTGAGAATCTTCTGTTTCTTTACCACTTTCAGTTCTAAGGAACTTGCAATACGTTTTTTTTTTCTGCGTATGGTACTTTTCTCTTTACTTTTTTTGTCCTGTTATTCTGTTTTTTTTTTTTTAAACCCCGTCTATCCTTTGTTATTTTAACTCCTACTTTACCAAAACAGTTAACCCATACATTTTAGCGGTTGTTGCTCAAGGCACCACATCTGTAGAAAAAAAAGAGTTTAAATAACAAGTAACTACGACTAAAAGAGTTAAACTCCATTTAATATTTCAGGATTTTATAATCCGTGGACCACCGTAAGCGGCAAACAGCGGAGAATGGGAACACAGATGCTATAACGACATGCGTAATATATTTCAATCACTATAATTACTGGCATGATATGACATAATATACTGTAATCGGCCATGCATCCATGGATAAGACAAGACTCCCCCATCAAACTCTCACATGGACACCAAATGGGGGGAAAAAATAGGGGAAGACCAAAAGAGACTCAGCGTTGAAACATCATCAGGGAAGGCTAAGCAATGGGCCTCACAAACATCCAATACATAAAACAGGTGGCAAAAAACCCGCAGACATGGAGAGCTATGACCTCTGCCCTTTGCGCTGCCTTAGCTCACGAGGAAAGACTAACTAATGGTGGAAGCATAAAGGAAGAATGGCCTACAAGAGAGACAGTACATAAAAGAGTTGAATGGAAGCAGTCCAGGAGGCAGACCAAGAGGACGATGGAGAGATAATTGAAATGTAGACCTGCAAGCACTTGGCGTCGCCAGCTGGAAAGAAAAGGCGATGAGAGATGACTGAGTGCAGATGGGTAAGATCTGCAGCAATTAACCTGAAGGTCTCGGAATGCTGAAGAAGCAGAAGCTTATTTTACAGTGTTAGTTTCTTTTGCTAAAGATTTTTTACTTTTTATGATTTGTTTTGTTTTGTTGGCAGACTGTAAGAGACTGGATACATATGGAAATCATAGAAAAGTCTCTATCATTTATCTATATCAAGGCTATTCAACTAAGTTTGTTTAAGGGTTAAAATGTGGAACATGGTTGTTGTCATGTGACAGATTCGAGAGCGCAAGAGTAGAAAGATCATTAATATTATACAGCTGGTACTTGTCCGTGGGCCACTTGCTAGGCTTCTGCGGGCCAGATTCGGCTCGCGGACCGCCAGTTTAATAGCCCCGATTTATATCATATCTTTGTACATACACACACAATCACATACATATATACACAGTTCACAGTAAGAGGAAACAACAGAGCGTGCAGGCTGGTATAATCCTTCCACTTCTATACTGGTAGATCATCCAAACACAACTGTTGGCTTCATTTACAGGAACTCATTGTCCATTGTGAGGATTCTGGGACTTCTGGCGCATGTGCTGCTGTTGTCTTCTAGCGCGGCCAGAGAGTTTCGTACCACAAGGGAAAGGAAAATGTGCAAAGGGCTGAAAGTACGACGTATGTCAAACTGCGGTGCTGTTGCCGACGCTAGCATACTGACAAGCAGATAGAGTTGGTTGTCGAGGAGGCATCGAGGGGTAGAAGGGAGACGAGTGAGCTTTAGCCTTGAGCCGAAGAGCTGCGATACTGTTGGAGCACTGATCCCGATTGTAGATGTAAGGTGGGGCTGGAGGTCCATATGGGCAGGCAGCACCGTGGGAGTTCATTCCCCCTCCCGTTCCCATCATAGGCGAGTTTATGCTGCTGATCGGTCCAGGGGAAGACGAAAATCCACCGAGTTGCTGACTGGAGACCACAGAAGGGAGGTGATGATTGACCGGGCTGTTCATGTTGAGACCCCAGGGGAAGCTCTTGGAACTCAACGGAGATGGCACCTTAGTGGCCCAGTTCTGGTAGGAGTATCCTGTGTAAAGACCATCATCGAATGGTGGCTGCATGAGACCGTTAAACTGAGGCCCGAAGCTGGTCTTGAATGTTTCCATATTCCTTTCTCGCTTCCTCCACTTCGCTCGCCGATTTTTAAACCACACCTGAAATTATTTGGGAAAGGGGAAAACAAGAGAACAGTTAGTTATTCAATCGGAAAAAAGCCACATCCATAAACATAGGACACAGAGGACAAAAATACGTGGCAACTATACGGTGCCTCGGTATAACTGTCCTAGACGGTTAAACCGGGCTTCTGAGATTTCTGCTGCTGTACTCGCACCCGAATAATGATGCTTTGTGTCAACAGGTGTCAGTTTTACAGACAGCAGTCATGGAGAAGGGGAGGAGCAGAAGGGCTTACAACACCCACCCCTCCCCTTCCCCCTTTCCTCCTTCTCTCCAACAAGAAGAAAGGGAAGAAAGAAGAAGAAAAGGAAAAAGAAGAAAAAGAAGAAAAAGAAGAAAAAAAAAATAAAGAATGCCGACAAAAGATGAAAGATAGAAGACATAATATAGAATCTACAAGGAAGATGGAAAAGAAAAAAACATTATTGTATGTTAGAAAAACTTCTTCTTCTTCTTCTTCTTCTTCTTCTTCTTCTTCTTCTTTCTTTTTCTTCTTCTTCTTCTTCTTCTTCTTCTTCTTCTTCTTCTTCTTCTTCTTCTTCTTCTTCTTCTTCTTCTTCTTCTTCTTCTTCTTCTTCTTCTTCTTCTTCTTCTTCTTCTTCTTTTTTCTTTTTCTTTGCGTTCACCGGCTGCAACTTTTGACTGAAATCTCTAGTTGTTCGTCCACTTCTGGTCTGTGACCTTGTTCCAGAACTTGACTTTCACGTGCATATCCTTTTACAGACACAGCTTATTGGTTGCATACAGTTGGTCCTGCGAGATGCACACTGACTTTGACAGAAACACCCGCAATTAATCGCCTTTTATGACATGGTTGTTAGAAGTATGTATTTCTACTCCCCCCCCCCCCCCTTCCAAGAAAACGGAGCCCTGGAACCTACAGAGATAATAGTTTATTTCGTAACCCTAACAGGATGTTGCAGAACCAACCCCAACAGCCCCTGACTGTTGTGTGGTTTCTGTAGGCAAGTTACATCCAGTAGTTTGCCATTGCTCCTGGACGGTCGGCTTTCTTGATACCACTGTCGAAACCAACGCAAGCCGCATTGCCCGCACCTGGGATCGAACCTGGCAAACCCGGCATTACGAAGCGAAGCGTTCGCATCGACTTAGCCACAGAGCCGACACAGAGATAATAGCTGATTTAAAATTACCTAATAAAACTTCAAACGACTAGCGAGTGGTAAGACTGGCTTGTGAAAACATAAGTCAGTGGCTCTTAACCTTCCTAATGCAGCGACCCTTTAATACAGTTCCCTCATGTTGTGGCGACCCACAAACAGTTATTGTCCTTTATAACCTCAATAAATATGTATTTTCCGATGGTCTTAGACGACCCAGGCGAAATCGTCGCTAGACCCGAAAAAGGGGTCGTGATCCGCAGGTTGAGAACCGCTGCTATAAGTGGAACTCCAGCTAACTCATTTAACTATCTCAGCGACATTGGCTCGCCAGTAGACGACCTTCGTCGCCGGTCGGGACAGTAGTTGGTCTGTCTCCTTTGATCAGCCGGCGTATGTGGGTTAGGTAGTGTGAACGCGCTGGGTTCGATCTCAGTGACGAACATTTGTCTTATGTTGGTTTTGACAGTGGTACCGAGAGCTGACCGTTTAGATGCAATGGCAAACTACTAAACGTAAAATTTGCCTAGAATCCCCCCTCCCGCACAACAGCAAAAAACAATGCTGCGGTTGGTTCTGTAATATCATGTAAAGGATACGCAGCCTGATTCCATGTGATCACATCAACGTCTTAAGAGTTTTTTCAGACCTTCTTGGTGGCGTGCAGTGCTAAGCCGGTTTATATGGCGCACGGGTGGGGGGGGGGGGGGGTATAGGGCCTGAATGGCCCCGAGTGCTGGAGATTCCTGGTTCAGGCCCTGGTAAAGGCTGCGATTTTTTCACGTGGACATTTAGTAATTTCCGATGGTCCCTGGTAGTAAGATCGGGCGCCCGTGTCTATTTTAGCGCACGTAAAAAAAAATCCCTTGGCAGCTGGAAATCGAAAAGAGTAGTCTCACGGTGCTACCCGAGCAAAATTTGAAGTTAAAAATCACTCAAAGTATTTCAGGATCCTTCGCCGTTGCTACGGAGTTCATGCACGGTGCTGAGGTTCTTCAGACTCAGGCTTGAGTTAGAAGTAGAACTGAGCACTTATGGGTTGTACCCGTGTGCCATGATGTTGATCCGTTGTATAAACCATAAACCTTATGGCGCACATAACCTAGTCACCCTTACAACCTAAAGAAAAACAAACATTTAATTCAAGCCAAGGAAATGCAACATTACCGTTGGCAGGCAAGGTCATTTACTGAGAAAAGCGATAGGAAAAAGAGGGTACACTTAGCATGTTTGTAATGATAGTGGGCATTTGAGAGGAGCCGTGTCACTGACCACTCGGTGTCAAACTCGGATACTTGTATCAGATAAGTGGTCAGCTAGACATCAGTTTGACAGATACCTGGATCAGCTGTCCAGGTCTGAAGTGGGCATAGAGCCGGTGGGCGGTCAACGACAGAAGGTTGTCGTCGCCATGTAAGTCTGACTGCCTGGAGACAAGTGCTGGTTGTGTACATGGGGCGACGCTTTTCAACACTGTACTGAATGTCTGCATACCATGTCTTCTCCGTGTCGGTTTCGGGGTCCAGTATTGGGGGAAAATCGTAGAACCACTGGCTTCCTAACAATCAGGTCGTAATTGTCGACTAATTAGGGGTGTTTCTTTCGAAGTCGGAGTGCATCTAATTGAGAGGCGAGGAACTAACAGTCTGCATACAAATAAGACAGATTTGTAGAGCGCCTGTATGCGCACTTTCTGAAATAAGTCTCAATCCAGAAGAGACACCAACGAACATTTTTCGTCGGAGTCTAAAACCGGTGAACACTAAGAAGAAAAAGAAGAAGAAGAAGAAGAAGAAGAAGAAGAAGAAGAAGAAGAAGAAGAAGAAGAAGAAGAAGAAGAAGAAGAAGAAGAAGAAGACGACGAAGACGAAGACGAAGACGAAGACGAAGAAGAAGAAGAAGAAGAAGAAGAAGAAGAAGAAGAAGAAGAAGAAGAAGAAGAAGAAGAAGAAAAGAAGAAGAAGAAAAGAAGAAGAAGAAAAGAAGAAGAAGAAGAAGAAGAAGAAGAAGAAGAAGAAGAAGTAAATACAGCAGCAGCAGCCGCAAAGGCAGAAGCAGCGACAGCAGTGCTTCTCGATCACTCTTAGTGTTAGGACGTTTTTTGTGCATGAGTTGTTCCAGTCCGGTGTGTTTTACATATCTACCTGCCCTCGTGTCTATCCATCTACCTATCTTCGCCTCAGAGGTTCTCAGATCTGAGCTAATTCAGAACCACCGTACTATGATATTTAGTAAACAGCCCCTGTTTCTAAGACACTCAGACTAGACTCACCCGCACACGAGCTTCGGTGAGGTTGGTCCAGGCAGAGATCTCCTCGCGAGTGGCCATGTCGGGGTATCTGTTTCGGGAGAAAGTGGCCTCTAGTTCTTGGAGCTGCTGGCTGGTAAAGTGAGTCCTCTGGCGTCTTTGACGTTTCTTCTTCTTATCATCGTCTGCTCCGTCATCAGATTTAATCTTGGTCGCGTCGTTGGAATCTGTTGAGAGAATATATTGTTATTTTCATTCTCTTGGGTAGTCAAAATGAAGAAGGGTAGAAGAAGAGAAGGGCAAAGAAGAACTGGAATGACAACATCAAGAAATGGACATGGCTAAGTTATCATACACTTATTCCTCAAGTGCAAGACAGAGAACGGTGGCAGGTTGTCTACGTTAGTGCTTCCATCGATACACCTCCATGACCCTATCGCAGTGGTTCTCAACCTTCTGAATGCCGTCACCCTTGAGACAGTTCCTCATATTGTAGCTACCCCCAGCAACACAATTATTTTCGTCGCTATTTCATAACTTCAGTGAATATTTGCTTTGCGATGGTCTTTGGCGGGCCAAGGGAAAGAGTCGTTCGATCCAAAAATGGGGCGAGGCGCATAAGTTGAGAACTGCCGCGCTAACTTATCAATGGTTAAATTGTGTATGTTATTTGAGGAGAAAAAAGAAAAACAAAACTGGTGCACTTGATGATAACTACAACGATTTGTGGATCTAAAAAAAAAAAATGAAAACATAGAGGAAGATGAAGAGAAAAGACAGCCTTTTGTCATAGCATAAGGTTCAAATGGTTTGGGGTGGGAGTGGGGATCTATGCCAGCACAGCAACAGTTACAAGCTGCTGGAGTGGGCAAGATAGGGAGCTCAGTATTTCTCGAGGCGTGCTATACACCCGTTCCCCCTCTCACACACCCAAAGTAAATAAAAAATGATGTAAAGGGGAAAAAGATCATCATCCCCCCCCCCCCCCCCAAAAAAAAAACATGTTTGAATATTTAAAAAATATTTTCCCTTTTACCTATCATATTATTTCAATTTGTGTTTGCCATGCAGCACAGTATATATATATATATATATATATATATATATATATATATATATATATATATATATATATATATATATATATATATATATATATATATATATATATACATATATATATATATATATATATATATATATATATATATATATATATTTATATATACACACACACACACATTCGTTAAGATTATTTTTAAGTAGGTAAACAAGGTCTAATGTCATATCAGTACTGTTGAATGGACCGGAAGAACAACAACGGCAATTACCAATAAACTACATTCATTCCTTAATTGGTACCTGCGCATAATAGAGGGAATAAAATGGTATGATAGCCTTCTTTCTTTCTCATCCCGGGTTGGGACCGGCTAGGACAGAGATAGAACGGGTTCGTCCTAAACTCTTTTGACCATTTCCGTTCAACTGTGTTATGTCGTAGTTGCTAGAAGCTCTCATTTCGGCCAGACTGTGTTGTGTTCAAATCCGATTCTAGGCGTATGTGTATGAGAGTGTATATATCAAACCAACCCCCTCCACAACAAACAACCCTCACTAGGTTTATGAGTACCGGCCCAAGCCACTAGTTTTGGTGAAATTAACATTTTTTAGCCAACATAACTGGCACACAGAAACCAGACCACAGTTATAACTGATATTGCTCGCCTTGATTAAACGTGGTCGATTTGTTTTTCATAAATGGATGGATGGGTGGGTGGATTTTTAAAAAATGTGATCTTAGCTTCCTGGGTAAGTACGCCCCCCCCCCCCCCCCCACCATGTTGTTGTTGTTGTTGTTGTAAAACTCCCTTTAAGATTGTAGTCTGCATCATTAACATCTCAACGATAACACTCGAAGAGTGATAACACTCGGACAGCGATAACACTCGAACAGCGATAACACTCGAACAGCTACAAATTAGCTTAGCCCTTCCTGTTCAACCCTACACCCATATACAGTAAGTAAACGTAAGGGACTCTCTCTTATACGTATTAGGCACATAGGGTTAGACATATATTTTATACACCAATCGGCACTCAGTGGATGCTGTGGTCATCATCATGCTGGCTGCATTTACTTCCCAGAACTTTACCTGGTAACCATTTAAGGCTAGGTCGACCTAAAAGCCGAGGTCATTTTTTTTAAACGTCCGGTCCCGTGAGGAGCTGAACCCACTACCTTCGGATCCGCAGACCAGCCTCATGCCGCTACACCACGACGGCTCCCTGAAGCACGGCTGTATTAGGACACTACACAAATGTTACGCAGCAACCTGCAGTCCCGATGTGAGCTTCACATAGGTATTCGGATGTTTTGTTGGAAGTAAATGCGGCCGGCGTGATGTTAATAACATCTTTTAAGTTACCATCGGGGAGCCGCGTTAGAGCAGTTGATAGGAGACCCGCTTTCAAAGCCAGCTGCGACTCGTTGCCGCACACGGTCGATGTTCGAAACCGGACGGTTCCCGGGGTTGACCCAGCCTCTAGAAATTGGGTACTAGAGTTGACATTCTAGGGTATATGGAGGAACGTCGCTATAGCTACAGGGTTACGTGCGGACAGCGACGCAGGTGGACAATTTCTTATCAGCTGTCCGTACTCGTGGCAGAGCACTTTTGGTTTATAACCGTGTGCAATAACGCTGGTTCACATCTCCGGACTCTACCTTACCTTTACCTTACCATCGGTCTAGAAAAAAAAAACATATGCACAGCACCCTATGACCGATGCACTGATGGTCTGAAAGGGTCAGCTACTTACATGACCACCACGTTAAGAAGGGGATTGATAGCCTGTCCACTTTGATCAGATGACCCTGGCCAGTGTCGCCAGTAGGAACTTGACCCGGGCCCTTCGTAGCAGTGAAGTAGGTGTCATGGAGATAGAGAGAAGACTGACATTTATCTGTTGATGATTCGCTGATTGAAACGACATCAGTCACTGGGCCGCCTATTGGCTGGCCGGTCGACGACATCGTCGCCGGTAGGGACAGTATTTGGGTCTGTCTCCTTTGGTCGCATGAACACTGCAGGAGTCCTTTTCAGGGCGCATATAACCTAGTCATAATAATAACCTAAAGCTCCTCTTTCGGGCAAGCTGGTTGAAGGTGGCGATTGTTATTGTTGACGGCTGACTGACTGACTTTCTACCCCACTAGGACATCACACAAGCGATAAACACCCGATGACACAAAGTGCCACCATGTGGATGAGGATCGCCGTGGCGAGGTCCCAGAAACCGCGTTTAGACAATTGGCTATATTTATGGCCTGCCTATATTGCGGCCCCTGGCAAAAGCCAGGGTGGGGCTTCAAATAACAGAAAGTTTCATCGTAATTTTTTTATTGTTGTTGTTGTTTTTGCCAACGAAGCACCTACCTAGCTGATTTCGGTGACAATTTCGTGTCAAGTAAGTAGAATCGCAGGACAGTTTTAGAGAGGCAGAAATCAAATCCTAGCCTGCACTCTTTGGCGTAAGCACTAGCCATGCGGCCCTATATTCTCAGGCTTAAAAACACCCTGACCCCCTCCCCCTTTCCACCTCTACTACAATGCAAAAGTGATAATTAAAGGCAGTTATCCCCCTTCCCCCTACCTCCTCTTTCGACGCCCAGTGGACAGTGATGTCTCTCACCCCCTCCCCCCCCCCTTTTTTTTTCCATCCCGGGGCCAGCGGACAATGTTTGTATTAAGCTTGGTCGACATGGAAGCCGTCTATTATAAATAATTTTATCTGTTGCAGATTCGAGGCCAAAACATTCGGGCAGTCAGACTAACGTCTAACCGTTACATCACTTAGAACGCTATTTAAGAAAACAAATTTACTCAAAGTGTCTGTGTGGGTTCTGGGGCCCCTTTGTGGAAAAAAAAAAAACAGTGCCTTAACAAGCATGTCGTGAGAGTCAGTTAATGGAAGAGGGGTGGGGGTGGGGGTGGAAGGATTACTTTGGCTTACTTCCTTAAGCGAGGAACCATCAGTCTGCATAAAAATAAGCTACATCCGTAAAATGGATTTGCACGCAACACTAAGGTTCTGCAGTCAACACTCAAGTCCAGACCGCTAAACGCGAAGAAGAAGAAGAAGAAGAAGAAGAAGAAGAAGAAGAAGAAAGAAGAAAGAAGAAAGAAGAAAGAAGAAAGAAGGAAGAAGAAAGGAGGAAGGAGGAGGGAGGGAGGGAGGAAGAGGGAGGAATGAGGGAGGAAGAAGGAGGGAGGAAAAAGGAAGATTTGGAAATTAAAACGAAGAAGAAGCAGAAGAAGATTTATTCAAAGTCAGGTTAACTGTCAAAAAAAATTAATTTAACAACCGCACACTCAGACAGGTAGACACCACACCCACCTTTTATGTCAGCATGAAATAGAATTATTTAAAAATATAAAGAATGTGATTGCTATGGCAACTAAATCGCCGGTTAGAGACAGGCATAATTAAATAACACGCCAATCACTACAAGATCAGCGCCTGTTTGACGAAAAGATAAATTATGAACTAAATACAATGCCAGCAAATTTAACGATATGGAGCCAAGGAGCCAAACTAATAAGGATTTGGCTACACGAATACGATTATAATTATTTTGGTCGTGAATATTGCTAGAGCGGCAAAACTGGCAACATGTTCTGAGAACTGACACTGAGACCGTTTAATAGTTTTTTGTGGTCCACTATGTGGTGGAAGTCAACAGAAAATTATACTGGCACCACATTTAACATGGAAGCCAAAAACGAATGTTGAATTAGGAATCGACATCACAGCACTCGGGACCCCCCCCCTCCCCCCATATACGCTCCGTCCCCATCTTCAGCAGCAAGCGAAGAGTTCTAATTATGTTGCACCAGTAACGGTCTGATTGTATATCCGTAGCTCATTGCAGCGCTATTCTCCCCAGACCGCAATGATCAATCTGTGCTTCCACACTGTTCAATCGCTCCCAAAGAGCCCTCATAATATCTAGCTTGCCATACATCAGTTCACCACCAACCAGCCAGTCTATCTGCCTGCTCATTTCCCAACACACCGGCATAACCTTGAGAAAATATCCACAGGAAACTAACTACTCGTAGAAGTCACGGTACTAGGAAAGGGGCAGGAGCCGACCAGCACGAAGATAAGCACAGGACACAACTAAGACACTGGGTAGGAAATTGCACGAGGCGGGACAGCTGGC